AGAGAAACTATGAAGCTTGGAGGTTCATGCATTTAAGAAATATAGAACATCCTTTTTCGGTTATGAAGATCTAGGATATGTTGTCCCTGAAGGTTCAGGTAAATTTCTGTTTCCAAGACAAAACCTTTAACTCCAGTTGCAACATACTCCAGAATCCTTGGACCATCCCAAAAGTGAGTACTTAGTAGCAGGGGTGGAGGTTTTATTGTTGTACCAACCCCCATGTTTGCGCCTAATATGTTCGGCAGTCAAGTTATTACTATTGAAAACTCATCAGTTCACAAAACTATCAATCTTGGTCTGCTGCTGTTGAGCTGTGGTTTATGGGTCAAGGAGTTGTTGACCTCCTTAGCAAAATAACATAATGTTGTACTGGAAAATGAAAAGGAAACTTGGGAAAGGATTGATGCTTGTGTAATTTGTCATGACAATCTCTCTCCAAAATTGGTGCCTCTTTGCAGACCATTCAAGACACGCATCTCAGTTTGAAACCAAGCTAAGTCAATGTACACTAATGATATTTCTTGCTTTTACACAGTTGTTGAGAATTTAATTAACTTGAAGAAAGGGGGAAGTATGGAGGTTTTCGCCAGGAAAGCCAAGAGTTTTATATCACAACCTCTTGGTGGGACTCATGCAAAACAAGTTGCTCAGTGAGAATTTTTTTTGTGGTGCTCTCCTTTCTAAATTAATCTGAGAATTTGAACACGCTTGAAACCAAATCCTTGGATGTGATCCAGTCCTGAGCACAAAAGAAGTGTTCAAATGACTTTCATATTTTTGGAATGTTGTCAAGCTTCTTTTAACTGAACAACCTGTCACATAAACCATGTCTAGACTGCAGATGACAAAGAATGAACACTTTGTGACCTACTCAACTTTTCAGTAGTTAAAGCCAAAGAAGGTAGTAATTGGAAAAGCCAAAGAAGCGAGTCCGTTCATTAAAAAAGATCTTCCCAGAATTTGAACTTGTTCTGTTGGATGACAGTCACATAGCTGGAATTACACAAGGGACTAGAAAGGGTGCAAAAAAGAAGTATGGAAAATTGAACTGGAAAGTTTCACCAAAGAACTAAAGATTGCTGGACAAGTCCTCACTTGCTGCCATGTGAGGGCATGTAATGCAAGACTGCCAGAGCTATTGCAGTGGGTTGTGGAGTTAGAGTTTTGGTGGTGCTACCAGATAAAAAAGATTGGTAGACTATTTTCTATGCTGATTTGGATTATGATGTCAATTTTACAATCTAATGCTTGTGGAGAGATGAATTGAATAAAAACAGAGACTGTTTATTGTTGGTTACTGTTTGTGATATGATTTGAGAAATTCGGTTTTTTAAAAATCTGATTCTTGCCTGAATTGACACGCAGCAGGGAATTTCAGAGCGTGCTGTGATACCATCTAGTGTTTAGGAACCTTAGATGGAGAAACCATGAGTAATCTATGATATGACACAAGACTTGTTTCCTGCTACCAGGATTTCTAATTTAAAGGGATTCCTAAATCTGTGCGATGTTTGATTCTCAACAGTTATATATTCCAATATAATTCATTTTGGATCATTTGCAACTCCATTCTATATATTTTTCTTCATAAAATTAGAAGCACTACCACTTTCTTTGTGGGACATCACTTTTGGCAACTGATGTTTCCAATGTTCGCTCCATGCAGCTTCAAGACGAAGTCATATTTTCTGATGCTGAGAGGTTAAAATTGACCCAGAGCAATGTTAAAATGGTTCGTCTCTCTAATATAGAAACAGAAATGTGCATATTTGTTAATGCATGTTTTGCGGTTTTATGACTCTGTTTCTAAGCTTTCCATATTACAGCTTCAAAGGCATTTTCAAGCTGACACTCTTCCTTGGATTGAGAGGATGAGACAAAAAGAGCAAGGTCTTCAAAGACGTCTTTTAAGGGTGAGTTATCATCAGTGCTTCCAAATTTTGATTTAGGCATGCTAGAAGTCTCGTGGCCTGGTAATTCAAATTACTTGACTGGTTGGGAAACAACAGTAACTGTCATGTTTGATGGTCATAGTTGTCTTCATGGGTGGTTTTGGGGTGTTTGTATAAATTTATATCACTAACTCATGTTTAGAAGTTTTGTGAAATTGAAATGCAAATAAACTGTCATTCATAATCGTTGATCTTAGTTTACAATATTGTATTTAGTTTTCGTTTAATTTTTGTTTATATGTAGTGTATATATATAGTAGGTGGTTTGGTTCTTTGTAGTTTCATAATTTTTTAAACCATATCTGATACTTATGGCTTATTAAAAAAAACTAAACCCATCGGTTATTTAGTTTTATGGCTATAAAATAATGTGGTTGATTGGGCAGTTACACTGGTTTGCTAGCTTTGTAGTTTTATGGTTTTTTTTGAACACTCAAACTGCAGAATAGATGATCGGCAATTCTTGCTATATTGTTCAGTCTATGTTATATAAATTCCTACTTGACATTAGAAGCAAAGTAATTGCCTACACACTACCTTTAACCGACTCCTGTATATGGGCTTTACAGGTAATGAGAATAATAGAAGCATTGGAAGGTAAAGGCTGCCGATTACCTCTGATGAAAGGAGAAGCTGATTTGGCAGAGAAGTTGGCTGCTATAACTAGACAGGTTATTATTCTGTTTTTTTTCTTTTATTTATTATGTAAGATATTTTTTTCTAGTTTGAGATCTTTCTTATGAGTGGTGCAACTTACAGTTAAAAGGATCAGGAGCAGAAGTTTCTCGGAGGGTTCAGAATCTCCTCACAATATGCCGTGTTCAAGATGGCATTGGTGGTGGTTCTTTTTATCTTCCGGGATCAGCTAAAATACATGAACAGAGTCTTGTTGATATGCAGGAGGTATGAGGAGGAAACACAATCTTTTTGGTAACACTAATGTTTAGTCTGTTTTAATGGGATCCACTTATAAGCAATATAACGCAACGTATTCACTATTGGCGAGGATCACAAGAATCTTTCTTGAATAAATGCAATATTGGGTTCTTCGAGTATAGTGATGTTGCCGCGTTTAGTCCTAAACTTTTAAATTGACCACATGTGGTCCTTCGACTTTCACATTGTTACCATCCGTGGTCCAAGTTAACTACCTATTGTCCTTCAACTTTCAAAATGTAATCAGTCGTGGTCACCACGGCTTGTTAAAATTTGATAGTTGGACCATTGATGGTTTAACTTGGAATCACGGATGATAACAATTTGAAAGTCGAAGGATCACAAGTGGTCAATTTGAAAATTTAGGACTAAACGTGGCAAAATCACTATACTCTAAGGACTAAATGTGGCAAAACAACTATACCCGGAGGATCCCAAATGGTATTAATTCAATCTTTCTTTTATGATGACCAGGTTTTGCAACAGCAAACCGAGGCCATTGCTAGGCTTGGCAATGTGCTGAAGCGAGACATGAGGGATATGGAGATCATAATGGCTGAAGAAACAGAAATGATAGAAGGTTGAGCAATCGCCCCGCCCTTGATCAGATGTACCGTACCATTAAATAGAATGAATGACCTCAATGTTGCATTATTCTTGTCCATTTTAGATCTTCATATTGATTGTAATACTAAGTAGTTTGCAACGAAATTTGATTGTATTAGAATTTTGTTAGTGATAGTAATGCAAAGAGCAAACATAATTTGAGCGTTGCCACACTTTATTATTATTTGTTGTAATTATGCAAGTCTTATCTGAACAAGGATTTTGGATGGTGGTATTTATTATTTAATAGTGGTGTTCTGAAACTGGTGAATGTATATTTCCTTGTGGCCTGACAAAAGTAATAGGAAAAAACTTAAGAAGTTAAGAGTGGCAAATTATATTGTGGAACGTGAATATATACTGAACGTATATTAAAAGTTTATTATTTGATATTATATCAAATAATGAACGTTCTGTATATAAAATGACATTTTTAAAAATAAATTTTACATACACAAATAATGTACTTTTAAGTAACATATTAAAAATATACCTTATGTCAGTAATCTACTCTGTATTTATAAAGAGACAAATAATATACTTTTAGACTGTCATTATCTTTACAAATTTAGAATTGGCATGAGGCATTTGTTATAATCATTTATATATTTTTTTAATGCTTTGTAGGATTGCAAATTTGCAATCCATACAAAGCAACTTTTGTACTTTTTTTTTTTTATATATAAAATTTTTAATTTTGTTTATTTACTTATTTTTTATTTTATTTATTTATTAATGTATTAAAGTGGTGTGATATTGGAGTCCACTTTTAAATATAGATTGGATTTGCAGGGATATAGTGTGAACAATAAATGATCTGCAAATTGTATGATGTGGAAGCGAGACTCATTTTTGAATGTAAGAGGAATTTGTAGGGATAAGGTCATAAGGAATTTTAAGGATAGCCTTAGCATATTAAACCTTATGTCAGTGATCTACTTACTTTACTTTATTTATTTATTTATTTAAAGGTCATAATCATTTATTTTATTTATTTATTAATGTATCTACTTACACAAATAATATACATATAGCATATTAAAAATGTACCTTATGTCAATAATTTATTTGCAAAGTCCATGATATAATAATTGGTTAACAGTGGCATGTACAAAAAACACTCATATTTATCGCATTATTCATTTTTAACATACTAAAAGCTTATTATTATTTGATAGTATACCAAATAATGAACCTTCAATCCCTTTTAAAAAAAATTAATACACAAATAATTATCCTTAGTATGTCAATGATTTACTTATAAGGTAGCCTACGGTCCATGGTTATTAGTTGGTTAAGAATGACATGTACAAAAAACAGTCATATCTATCACAATGTTCATTTCTAACATACAGAAATATAATTATTTGATAGTATACCAAATAATGGATCTTCAAAAAATAAAATTTTAACACACAAATAATGTATCTTTAGTACCTTATGTCAGTGATTCATCCACTGTATAATGATTGGTTAAAAATGGCATTTACAAAAACACACATCTATTACAAATTCAGTTCCCTGAGTTGATTCATAGTTAAAAACTGTACTAACAGTTGAATACTACCAAGTGTAATGATCCTTCCTTCCTTACACAACTTACAAGCCGTCAATGAATACATGTCAAAAATCATCACATGAAATGTTATACACTTACAGCCCAAGTTTCTTAGGTCTAAGGTAAGTAGAAGTCTTGGGCTTCAACCCAGGCATTGAAACTTGTTGTTGCTGCCTCTCCCTCTTCTTCCTCTCCTTCTCCTTGTTTCTTCTATCAATCTCTGCTTGCACCTTCCTCAAATTCTCCATTTCTTCTTCCATGGCGGTTTTTTCTTCCTTTTGCTTCTTTTTGTGTTCTAACATGGATGTATCCGACTCCTTGATAGAGAAAAACATGGGTCCCAGCTCCGCTAACCACTGAGGCTCCACTGCGGTCACACACTGCATATACTCCTTCGTTGTTAAGATCAACTCGTGATAAACCACGTAATCGGGTGTATAACCCAGCCCATACAGTGCACTAGTGGGATGCAGATGACATGGCATTCCATTCCTGCAATTCACATATTCACCCACCCCCTTGAGTCTAGCTGAATTATGAAAATATGCAGAACAGATTGCCTTTCTCACGATGTCCCAATCGGGGCCACATGAGGTAAGTGGAATTTTGAGGGTCTTCAGTATATCCAGCAGTTGAGATCTAACCTCCCTAGCTTTGCGCAAACCTTTGACGTGCAAGAAATGGTCATTACACCAATCACCTCGGTACTGGTTCGCCTTCCATTGTTGGTAGACATTCAGCAGGGTGAGATGATCGGATTCCGGTACAAAAAATTTCTCCCTAGCAGCATCACTCTCCTCTGCCCTATCCTTGGGTCTAAAGAAAACTGAAGGTACCGAAAGCATCGATACAATGGTGAGAACTTCATTTAGGCATTCTAGTTGTTCCCCCATCAAAAGCATCTTTGCAAGAGGAGGGTCCAATGGAAACTCCACCATTTTCCAACCAAGATCAGTTAGATCCCCTACATTATTGAGTGCACCCAATACCCACAGCTGATACATGGAGTTGAGTATGTTTTCCTGAGGAGGAGGATCCATAAAATCAAAATCTAACAAATTTGAAATCTTGAGCGACTTGAGCAGCAATACTACATTGCCAAGATTCGTCCTCTGAATTTCGGGTACAGGGCTTGGCAACATTTCATTCTGGTATGCATTCTCAGTATAAAGTCGGTAACAAGTACCGGGCCCAGTTCTACCAGCTCGCCCAGCACGCTGGTCTGCTGCTGCACGACTGACAGGGAAAACTTGGAGAGCATCCATACCCATTCGTGGATTGTACACCTTCATCTTACCGTAACCAGTATCAATAACATAAAAAATTCCATCAACAGTTAAGGATGTCTCAGCAATATTTGTGGCAACAATACATTTGCGCTCTCCTTCTTCGGCCTTCTGGAATATCTTAGCCTGCAAATCAGCTGGCAGTTGGGAGTAAATAGGAAGAATAAGTAGCTTCGGTACAGCCTGTTTTGCTGAGGAGACTAACTGTTCCATTCGCTCTTGAAGTGCATAACAAGTAGCTTCAATCTCATCTTGACCGGTCATAAATATGAGTATATCACCTGGTGCACTAGTTATGTGGATGGTCATAGCCTGTTTTACTGCAGCCTCTACGTAATCTTCACAAGGGCTTTTGCTATACATGATTTGAACTGGAAATGTTCTCCCAGGAATGTTGAATATTGGTACACTGCAACAGATTCATAAATCAATTGTAGTTGACACATCAAAAGCCAGAGTAATCCAGAATTTTACACTTATATGGACTTACCTTCCGAAAAAGTGAGAAAATTTCTGAGCATTGAGTGTGGCAGATGTCACGATAAGTTTAAAATCACGCCGCCGGGCAACAACCTTTTTAAGTATTCCAAACAGCACATCAGTGTTCAATGATCTCTCATGTGCCTCGTCCATTACAACAACACTATAGGATTCAGACAACGTAAACACAATGCTTAGTACATAAATAACTTTTAATGTTCCAACAATTATATCTAGAATATTAGAGTATTAGACCCATACCGATATTTTTCAAGATCAGAATCTTTCAGTGTCTCACGTAGAAGCACACCATCTGTCATGTACTGCAGAAGGAAATGAAACATAATGAGCTCAGACAGAAGCATGCAAGAAAAACAGATTGTAAGTCAAAACAAGCACAAGTAGATAAACATCAGTAACAGGTAGTGGAAAAACTGGATATTATGACATAATAAAAATTTACCTTGATAACAGTGTTAGGCCCAGTCACATCTTCAAAGCGAATAGCATATCCTACTTTCTCACCAAGATCAGTTTCCATTTCTTCACTAACTCTTTTTGCAACACTCATAGCTGCGACACGCCTTGGTTGGGTACAACCAACTATCCCATTTGTTGTAAAGCCATCTTCATGTAAGTACTGCAGACATTTACCATAAACATGACAAGCAAAAAAATAAGCCAAAATTAAAATTTAAAACATAAAGAAAAAGAGATACAATTCAAATTCTTCACTGCGTAAGGTAAGAAATTGGACAAACCTGGGTCAATTGTGTTGTCTTCCCTGAACCAGTTTCTCCAACAACCACCACAATCTGATTTTCGTGAACCACCTACTCAGAAATTGACGCTACAATTAGAGAAACAGCAAAGGTAGATTGATGTAATATCCTTTTGGAGGTTTATGTTTTATTAGTTTAACACTAGCAAAGGGGATTGCAACTTATGTGGTCATTTAAAGCATGCCTCTGAATTGAATTCTTTAATGCACAATCTAAATGTAAATAAGCAATATAATCTAAAAATGATAAACTAAGAGAAACAGGGAAATATGTCAAAGAATAAATAGAAGTGCTGTTTGAATTCAGGACTAGTTACTCTTTGAAAACCAAGTCCTATTAACACTCAAATGCCCAAATGTCATGCACCATAACCTAGTTTGAAGGTTTTCAAAGGGGAAACGGAAAAAAAACTATCCTCAGAATTCATGGCCACAATGGTTTATATATGCCAACAGTAGGTCTAATTATCTACAGATGCAACATCGTACTAGAGCTTATAAACCATGAAGCAATGGAAAAAAAAAAAAGGCATAGACAAAGGATAAATACATAAAATTAAAAATTATTACTAAAAAGAAAAAAGTAAATTGTGAAACCTGCAGTAACTCGTCGCGGACAGAAAAAATGGGCAAATACTGCCTTTGCTGTGAGATTGTATTGGATTTTGCAAAGTCGCTTACTGCTTCCCCTTTCTTTAAATGTTGTGAAAACCTAGCTTCTTCCTTGAAATCAACCTCACCTTGTTCACCCACTGCAGCAGTATCTGCATCAACCTAGCATAGTATTCAAACTGAACATCAGACATAGGATACTGGCCTCAGACTTCTAAATTGACAGGAAGAAGCTACATAAAAATGTTCAGTTAAAATTCATCACAATCTGTTACCTGTTCAGCTGTTTTTTCAACTCCTAAGATATCACCAAGTTTTGACCCAGCAAGTTCCCAAAATCGTTGACGAGATTTATGCATGCTTTGTTTTTCATGTATTTCACGAACAAGAACTGAGCCTTTGCGAGATATTATGGCCATATCTGATGTGGGGTCCTTGATTGGCATTACTGGTTCAGCTTGCTTTGTGAAGACAATCCTTCCATCCAGAAAAGGGGGTTTTGTATCTGGTGAATGAATTGAAAACAGATGCTTTAGCAAACAAAATTGGGAAGTTATCTTTTCAAGAATCTAAGCTAGTTTGCTATTAAGGGTGTGCTAGAGATTCCATACCATGAACAAGAAGGATAACCTTCCTTTCGTCCTCGTCATCAAATTCTGTTTGCACCTCAGTGCCTTTAACAGCTCCAGATCTCAGAAGCTGACGGTCTTCCCACTGTGCATTGTCTGCAGTTAGCTGTGATAGCTTCTTACTCTGGGAAAGTGACATCTTAGTGCCATCCTTTCGAGTCTGTTAGGAGTCAAAGTGAGTGAAGGAAGTTAATGACAAAGTTAAGTTTACCAACTAATATATTTAAAATTGTATGAAAAGTTTAAATTGAACTTGAGGTATGATTTACCATAAAATCAAAGTAATGAACTGTCTATCAATAACTCATAAAGAAAATATGTATTTGAATTTACTACTTCAGCAGGATTTCTAATTTGAAATCAATAAAGCAAGGTTGAAGAAAGTGAAGAGTGGACTTAACACTATATTTCATGCATCCTATGTGGCAAACTTTTCACAGCTCAAGGGATCACTATGGGATGGAAATGATATTAACATTGAATTATATCACTTCAAACATATATTATTGATACAAAATAAAAATTAAAAAAACATTAAACCAAAATAATAGCAGTTATGCGGCCATATATGGAATATCAACAAGTATGATAGAATACTCAGCATTTCTTTACAGGTATGATTTAAATATTACTACAGAACACTTACCAGTCTTTTGGCCAACTCTGCCTCTTTTTTCTGAAAAGAGGCCTCATCACCTAAAAACAGTGCGGATCTATCCGTGTCAAACACAGTGCTGCCTTCTTCTCTATCATACCTGTTTAATGATAAGACTTTCATAATTGAGAGATGCCACAAAATGAAAGGAGGAAAACCACTAATTTAATATGTTGAGTATAGACTAGTTTCAGTGATCATTTAATACCAGGCACGATCAGAATTGTACTCCATCTCTAGACGCATACTTTCAGTGATCTCCATCCCCTGATTGTCGTCTTCAGATCCACGAATTCTATCGTCTCCATCATCCTGGAGGCACCAAGGAGAACAATATATAAATTACACTATACATTATTGTAGACACAATGCCACTTCTTTAGTATCATGTGATCTGTATATGAAGAGATACCTCAGACAATTGAGCAGCATTAGCAGAAGAAGAAAGCCGACTGGATTTTCCACCATATCGGGAACCTGAAGATCTTACAGAAGAACCAGATGCTCGTATTGGAGTTGGAGATGGAGCCACACTGTCCCAAGGAGAAGCAGCTCCTGTAGATTTACAAAGGTTCAGGTTAAATCATTTGAACAGCTCAATGTATACTGTTTTAAGTTCAGCCATGCTATTAAACAATCAACAGTGGCATAATACTTTACCAGAACGAGGTGTATGGCCTCCCAACCACGGGGAAACAAGTCGCACATCAGGAGAGGCCCCAATAAACATTGGGGATGGTGAAGGTTCATGGCGTCGGCTGCTACTATAGGAGGAACTATCTCGACGAGGTGTATCTTCCCACTCCCATCTGCCATCATCCCAGTCAGATCTTCCTGCAATACTTGCAGTGTTACAAACTAGAAGAGTACGAATGCAATTCACAACAAATGTAAATGGTGAAAGTATCATGGCAGTTTCTACTTTAAGACATATGTAGGTAGATTCAGAAAATACAAGATCTTGAAAGGCCCAACCAAGAAATTGCAGAAGTGAAAGTAAGTCAAATAGTCATTCCACAAAAATACAGCTGTAGGATTTCCAGGGCATCATTGTGAGACTCTTTTATGTCCAAATATCACCAAATAAATAAATGATGATGATGCTGACATTGATAATAAAACCATTGTTCTTTGTTTCTTCACCCTAATATTAGAGAAGCAAAGTTCCAGTACAAGACTTATTTTAAATGAGTTATTAACAATATTCCCTTTAACATTAAGATCCTAGAACCCAAAAACTATTTATCATCCATTTCAAGAGAACATTTGACCATTTGATGAACTAATAAATGAAGATATACCCACCACGTGTATTCCTGGGGCTTTCATATCTACTTCTTTTTCTTCTGCTGTCATCATTGTATTCTTTTCCATGATTGCGTGATGATTCCCTATGGCGATGCTCTTCCCCATCAGTTCTATCTCTCTTTACCTCCCTGCTTTTGCTCCTATAGTCATCCCGGGACTTCCTTTCCCTCCCATAATCAAAATCATGGGATGAACTCTTAGTCCTTGATCTTCCAGTAGATGGAGTTGGAACCTTAAATTAAACAAAAATCATTCACACTATTGCCTCTTGACAATTAAAAAAAAAAGTACTAACAGACAATAATAATAATAATAATAATAATAATAACAACAACAACAACAACAACAACAACAATAATAATAATAATAATAATAATAATAATAATAATAATAATAATAATAATAATAATAATAATAACAATAATAATAATAATAAGTTGAAAGAGGAGCAAATTGATGTAAAACTGATGAATTGGTGATTTAATCAGATTGACAACAAAAATTATCTAACTGTGCGTCTGTGCCTGACAAGTACGTTTAAGGATAAGTATTAGGTCAAAATGGTTGCAAAATTTTCAGATTCACATGTCATTAAGACACTTCAAAGGAATAATTCCTTAAAACAAGAGAATCACAGATGCAGCTTATAGCTCAAGATGATCTTAGGGTTGCTCAAGAAAAAGCAAAATTTTCAATTTAGATCATATAAGAATTGCTTAAATGCGACATTTTATCCCCCCACCCTCAACAAAAATGGGGAAAAAAATCTCACACACAAACACCCCACCCCGCATCAAAATGAGGGTGATATGACAATGGGATACTAGATCCAAACATGTGAATTTTGCAGATTGGGACCAAATTTTACAGCAACAGCTTTTGATGTGAAGATTATTTAAATTTCAGTAAAAATGAGCAACAACAACTTCACAACTTCACATCTCCAAGAAAGCCAAATGAGTTAATACCTGATAGTCTTCATCAGAGCGAGGCCTCAAGACTGTCTCATTCTCTCGTCCTTCTTCAGTAACTGTAATCCCTAAAAATGCATCCCAAATTTAATGAAAAAGGACATAGACAAATCAAAGTCCTATATAAGTTTACTGTGCATGCATGTAAGTCCTTAAGAAGTTAATATCAAGTTCAAAAATTAAGAACTGTGATTCAAAATTGCGAAACAGGATTTTACAATCAAGCAATGGGTCAATTAATCCTGTAAGGAACCAATGACATCCAATTAACACCTATGATGGAAGTCCTAATATTTGTTACTAATGGAGTTCAAGTATTCAAAAGTTAAGGTCTGGTCATAATAATCAAAGAACATCATGAACAGATAAAAAAAATAAATAAACAGTAAATTATGTTGTCAAACAGGGACCTGAGATAGAAGTCTCGCTGGCAACAGAATCACGATAACGTCTACTCGTGTGACTGCGTGAACCTCTAGATGGAACATCTTCTAATTGTCCAGTCTCAGTAGAAGTCTCTTCATCTATAGCTGACACAACAGTAGCTACTCTTTCCCTTGGAACTTTAAATGAATTCTCTATTGTAGATCCTCCTCTTTTCGCACTTGCAAGCACATCTAGCCCTGAATATCATGCACATCTTCACTTAGTCTAAAATAAGGAATAATGAAATGATACATCTGTACCTCAACCACAAAACTAAGTTCATCAAAGAAAAATACTGAATACAAAAACAGACATTTAATAAAATTCCATGCTGCCAAGATTGCATCTAACAATGACAAATTAAATAAGTAGGATATACGCATAGTAAAGAACCATTTGTCATTTGACCAAACATCTTCTAACATACATATAAAACATAAAATACACCTTTAACCAATAACATGATCCTAAGGATGCATAAAGTAACAAGATAAACCGAGTTCAAGAATACTAAAATAAAATCCTAAAAAGAATGACCTTCTTGACTCTTTGAGTAAAAAAAAAAAAAAGCTTTATAAACACATACAAATTAACAGAAGAAAAGACATACCAAGAAGTGATTTCCGCTCTGGAGGTCTAAAAACAACACGATCCTTCCCAGGAATATATAAACCACCACCACTGGCGCCATCAGGTTCCAAAGTAGTAGTTGTCTTGTCAAGGTCTATTGGTCCAGTAACCTCTCCCTCTACAGGTTTCTGAATGGAATAACAAATTCAAGATAAATATACCAAAATTCCAAATAAATACATAGAGGAAAAATTAATTAATTAATCAAACACTCACCTGCATGTTCCTCAATATCAGCAAAATAAGTCTTCTACTTCTTGACCCCTCAAGAAACTACAAAGATTCACAATTTCATAAATTGTTAGAGAATGTCCTGTGCTTTATTTTTAACTAAAGTCCAATTGTTGTTTCTAAAGCCTGAGTGCTTTAGAGATGAGGTATTGAAGTAGAATACCAGCAAACCAAATATAAAGTAAAGAGTTACACAAGACAAAAATGCTCTTATCATATCCATAGAAGAAGTAAATAAAAGACAAAGAAATAACTCTTTCTCAATAATATACCTCGTCTCTCAACTTACCGTGAGCAGGACAACCTCAAAAACCAAAATTATTGCACTTTTAAGTTCGGGTACAGTAGCAGAAATATGATAATATATAGACATTCCGATAAGATAGATAACACAGGAAAAAATCCAGAAGCACCGATACTAACAAAAAAAAAAAAAAAAAAAAAATTCCATTCTTGGGCAAATTATACCATGGACCAGGGTCTATCTTACACTGTAGACCCTGGTCCAAAAGTAACTTGTACTTAACACATTCGTAAACAAATTGAAGGCAAATCACATGATAATTACGTAACATGACAGACACATAAACAATTAACTCCAGACTAACATCTTATGTATCTTCAGTTATCATTTTATGTGTTGTAATTACCATGTAATGAGCTTATGAGCCTTAAATTTTATTTTATTTTTTTGCAGGTACAGAAATTGTTAATGCAGTTACAGAATCAGAATGTATTAACAGCATACACATAATTTTTTGACTAGGGTTCATAATGCAATTTGAACTCATGGTATAACAGTATTGAAGAGGCCGTAGTAGCACCTAAAATTCAGCAGAAAATTTTCGAAGAAAAGCAAGCAAATCAATACTTGAACAAACGAACAAATCCAAAGAAAAATAAAAAACAAAGAGCAATCCGGGCCGAGGAAGCATCGGGCACATTACCTGATTGGATGAAGGCGACAATAACGGGAGAGGCGTGAGACTGGAAGCAAAGTTGGAAGTGCGAGGCGAGAGCGCGCAGAAGGAGTTGAATCAGGGTAATTGGGTAATGAATAGAAGAGCAAGGAGTGAAGTTTTTATTGTTCAGGATTTGAATCCCAATCCTAATCCGATTGGAGAAGGAACAACTGTTTTTAAGAATAAGGGTTTTTCACAGTTTCAAATTGTCAACAAATCGCCCGCTTACATATGAGGTAGGTTTAGGTTTATCTGCTGGGCTGGGTACTAGAGAATAGAGAATAGAGATTGACGATCCAATGGCGGTTGAACCGTGGACACCAGCTTCCGCGTTCCGCATCTTAAACATAATGAACCGGCAAATAGGATTAACTTGTAACTCCAAATCTCTACTATTTAATCTACTATTAAACATTATAAGGAGAAAATGTCGAATAGAATTTTTACACATTTTGTAATTGAATTATTGAAAGAGAAATGTATAGTTAGACTATTGAACACTCACAAATTATACAAATAATATTTACTAATAAGAGCCTAAGAGAGTTAGGCCTATAATGGATAGAAAAAATGACTGTCAAATTTTTTAGTCAAATGAATAGCTCAAATTGATCAGATTTTAATTTTTCCTTTAAGGTTTCCTAATGTATCTTTAATGAATATGATTATCCGTTAACTTTTTCGTTAAATATTATCTTTTCTGTTAATTTCTGTTAGTTCACCGTTAACTTACTCATTAATTTCAATAAGAAAGGTCTTATGTTCGAACCTTATCCCAATCAAAGTTGGCATAATTAGTACTCTATTTTACTCTTATTAAATTACTAGTTTTTTACGCGCATTGCGCAATTGGAATAATGCCCAATGTTTTTCTTAAATAAATATTTTAAAGTATATCAATGCAAGATTATATTAGAATTGTTCATGCATAGATAATTGAATGTTGAATTTGCGTATTTAAATTGATAATTCTAAGTTTACAAATGCAAAATAATATAGTCAATATTGATTATAATTATCATTAAAATAATTGTATGGGTATGGTTGAAACCAAATACGGGACATAAGGGAGATGGAGCAAATAAAAATTAAAGCATAAAATATTAAATATATACTAATATTGTTTGAGGAGATTAGATAATCATATAATTAAGGATAAATTAGAAAATCTCAAGGAAAAATTAAAATCTGAACAATCTGAACTGTTCATTTGATTTAATAATTTGACATTCATTTTTTCTACCCAATGTTTATAATTAAATAAATATTTGAAAGTATATAAATGCAAGATTATATATGAAAAGTTCAACATAAGTAATTTAATGTCTAATTTGTTTATTTAAATATGTAATTCATAGTATATGAATACAATGTAATATAGGAGATTCATTATAATTGTTACTAAATTTTTTTTAAATAGTAACCAAGTATTTTTGTTGCAAAGGGTCCTAATATATTTACTGAATGCACATATATACAAGATCAATGAATGAAATCAACAGTACCAGTCCTTTAGGTGTTTTCATGGTATTAATAAAATACTTGGTAAATAAATAAATTAAAATAATAATTTAGTAGCTGCAACAAAAAAATAATACATATGCATTTTTTTTTTAATTTAGAATTATGTGTCTACAATGTCTTTATTAAAAAAAATTTATTCATTATCAATAAATTAAATAAGAAAAATAATTACTTGACAATAGATATGTGGTCCCACACAATCGACACCTTTTGCTGAAATATGGTGCTCACATTAGTGTCGAATGGTGGGACGTTATGCCATGGAACCGTGTTCACGGTTCCAACGGTGTTAGTACACCATTATCTTTTTTTTTTTCTTAATTAATTGCGTGACTTTTCTTCTTTATTTTCACATTTTGCGGTTTCACTTTAATTTGAGGTGAACAAAGATTTCGAACATTCATAAATTATGAATTCATGCCTGCACATTCACTTTGGAACCATGCCTACACATTCCCGTCCGAAATCACGGACATTCATAAATTATAATCCATGCCTGCACATTCACTTTGGAACCATGTCTACACATTCACTTTGGAACCATGAGATTATGAATTTTCTGTTATAAGATTATGAATTTTCAGTTATGAGATTATGAATTTTCAGTTATGAGATTATGAATTTTTTGTTATGCGATTATGAATTTTCTGTTATGAGATTATGAATTTTCATTACATTCATAATTTCGGACATTCATAAATTATGAAATCATGCCTGCACATTTACTTTGGAACCATGCCTACATATTCCCGTCTGAAATCACGGACATTCATAAATTATGAATCCATACTTGCACATTCACTTTGGAACCATGCCTACACATTCACTTTGGAACCATGAGATTATGAATTTTCTGTTATGAGATTATGAATTTTCTGTTGTGAGATTATGAATTTTCAGTTGTGAGATTATGAATTTTCAGTTGTGAGATTATGAATTTTCTGTTATGCGATTATGAATTTTCATAAAATTCATAATCTCATAACAGAAAATTCATAATTTGATCAAACGCGCGCCGTTAACTTCACATCCGCGAATTTTTTTTTTTGGCCTAAAAACGACGTCATTTTGCCTTGTGTTCACCATTCTCGGTGAACACGATTCCATGGCATAATTTGCGTCGAATGGTGTAACCAATCACGGGGCTCTGTTTGGCAGAGCTTATTTAGGAGCTTATAGCTTATTTTAAGCTACTAATAAGATATAAGTTCTGTTTGGTAATGTTCCTAAAATAAGCTCCTAGCTTAAAATAAGAGCTTATTTTGAAACGTTACTTTAGGTAGCGTTTGAAAATAAGCTCCTAGCTTCCTAACTTTTTTTCCATCTTTATCCTTATTATTTTTAAAAAATGACATAATTTACCCTTCTCAATTAAAACATTTTTCTCTTCTCCTTTAATTTATCCGCAACTTTCACCGCAAATATTATTATTATTATTATTATTATTATTATTATTATTATTATTATTATTATTATTATTATTATTATTATTACTATTATTACTATTATTACTATTATTACTATTATTACTATTATTACTATTATTACTATTATTATTATTATTACTATTATTATTATTATTATTATTATTATTATTATAATTATTATAATTATTATAATTATTATAATTATTATAATTATTATAATTATTATTATTATTATTATTATTATTATTATTATTATTATTATTATTATTATTATTATTATGAGATTTGCAACAATGTTGCTACTTCATTATGAGATACTAGATCATGATTATGTTAATAGTTTTATTTCAAAACGTTAATTTTTTTTTAAAGACAAAATGTTAAATTTTAATATGTAAACAAACTAATTTAAATTTTATCAAGATGTCCTTTTTAGTCTTTTTACATTTATCAGCTTGTCAAAAAGCTAATTTTACCAAACACTTTCAATCATAACAGCTAGCTTAACAGCTCTTCAGTTTTCAGCTCCGAGCTTATAGCTTTTCAGTTTTAAGCTCCTAGCTTATAGCTTTTCAGCTAGGTTTGCCAAACAGAGCCACGATCCATCAAGTACTTATTCACGTAAACAATGGCAACGATTGAGTCACAGCTTCTTTCTATCGAAGTGCTACTGATGAACAAAATGGGACAGATGTTGATGATGTCAAAATGTATTATGATTGCAGATACATATCGCCTTGCGAAGCTTTGGAGAATTTTCGGATTTGAAATACAATATCGTTATCCTCCAATAGAGCGACTCAACTTTCATTTACCAAATGAACAAGGCGTATACTTTGATGATGAAGATCTGATCGGTGTTACTATTGATAGACCTATCGTTAAACAAAGTATGTTCCTAGCTTAGTTTGAGGCAACAAAAAGTATCCAAAGGCTAGGCAATTAATTTATGCAGAGATGCCAATGAAATTTGTTTGGAAACAATCAACAAGAGAATTTGTACCATGACAAAGGGGATTCTCAATAGGACGAGTTTTCTATGTTTCCCCTGGAAGTGGTGAAATGTACTACTTGAGATGTCTCTTGAATGTGATGCGAGGTCCTACGTGCTATGAAGATTTAAGAACAGTCAATGGAGTAATATACAATAGCTATCGTTATGCTTGCTATGCACTAGGCCTACTAGAAGATGACAAAGAATATGTTGATGCTATTGTTGAAGCAATTCATTGGGCATCTGCTCAATCCTTGAGAAATTTGTACACCACATTGTTATCATCAAATTCTCTAAGTCGTCCTGAAGATGTTTAGGAGAAATGTTGGACGCAATTGTCTGACGACATTTTGTATAGATAACGAAAAATATTAGGCTACCAAGGTATGAATTTCTTATTTTCCTCTAAATTACATTGACAAAATAGGAGAATTAGTTATAACATCGTAATACATTTGCTAATTATGTTTTTAATAATTTATAGATTTGATAATGAATGAGGATGAAATAAAGAACCATGCATTGGTTGAGATTGAGAACCTATTTGGACGATGTGGAAAGAGTCTACGTGATTATGCACAAATGCCACTCCCAGACATTGAGTGGGCTTCCAGTTCAATAAATCGGTTGGTGCAAGATGAGTTGCGATATGACAGAAAAAAATGCAAGAAAAGCATACAAAATTGGTTTTCAATTTGACACCTGAGTAACATGGTGTTTATAGCACAATAATTAGTGTTGTAGATGGAAATGTAGGGGGCATTTTCTTTGTTTACAGTTATGGCGGGATTGGAAAGACATTTGTATGGAGAACATTGTCAGCAACATTAAGGCCAAAAGGAGGTATAGTATTGAACGTTGCTTCAAGTGGTATAGCTTCGCTCTTAATACCTAGGGGGAGAACTGCACATTCAAGGTTTGCAATTCCACTAAACCCAACTGAGGATTCTACCTGTAACCTCAAACAAGGCAGCCAATTAGCTAAGCTCATTATTATATGCAAACTTATAATTTGCGATGAAGCGCCAATAATGCACAAACATTGCTTTGAAGCTTTAGATAGAAACTTGTGTGATATATTGCGTTTCAACAACCCACAAGGGCAAGACATACCTTTCGGAGGAAAAACAGTTGTGTTTGGTAGAGACTTCAGACAGATTCTACCAGTTATACCAAAAGGAACTAGGCAAGATATTGTGCAAGCAACAATAAATGCGTTTGACCAAGAATATGCGACTACAAAACTCAACCTCAAATAATAATTGTGCACAACTGAAACAATTTTTTGAATGGATTGCAAAAATTGGAGATGGAAAAATTGAAGGGTGAAAGTGATTACATAGAAATACTTGAAGAAATACTGTTACAGTATTTTACAGATCCCATTCAAGCAATTGTAGAAAACACGTATCCCTCATTCTCAAGTATCCTTGATGATCCGTCTTACTTACAAAATAGGGCGATATTGGCACCAACCATTGGCGTGGTACATTCTATAAATGAATATATGAGTTCTTTAAACACGTATGAAGGAAGTACATATTTGAGCTGTGATAGTACTTGCAAATCAGATTCTAATGTTGAAATGTTAGCTGATGTTCACACTCCAGAAGTTTTGAATGGGATCAAGTGTTTAGGTGTAGCCAATCACGAATTGACATTGAAAGTTGGCACTCCGGTTATGCTCTTATGAAACATTGACCACTCAATTGGTTTATGCAATGGAACAAGGATGGTAATTACTAAACTTGGAAACCATGTTCTAGAAGCAAAAATATTGCCTGGAAGCAGTGCTGGTCAGAAAGTACTGATGCCAAGAATGTCATTAACTCTATCGGACTTGAGATTGCCCTTTAAATTTCAAAGAAGACAATTCCCTATAATTGTCTCATATGCAATGACGATTAATAAGAGTCAGGGTCAATCTCTTTCTCATGTAGGCCTATTCTTAAAAAAAAAACATGTCTTTAGTCATGGACAATTATATGTTGCAGTTTCAAGGGTCAACACTCAAAATGGATTGAAAATATTGATTTGTGATAGTGATAGCAACAAAACAACTTCAATAGCAAACATTGTAAACAAGGAGGTTTTTCAAAATTTTTAACGATTTCAAATCATTATAATATCATATTTTTATAATATCATATTTTAAGATTATAGTTGTTATTAAAAATTTTATCTTCTGTACATATCTATTGATACTTTTGCACTCGTCCGAACTAATTGAATACTTGTGTCAGAAATTCCTCGAATTTTATAAAGAAACAGAATTGTACACTTCTAATTATTATAAAAATTTATAACTTGACCTATAACTTTATTATTATATTTATTTATAACTTAACCTTTAACTTTATTATTTAAATATTAAAAAAAAAATCTGTGCATCGCACGTGTGTGTTTGTGTATATATCTATATCTAATATATATATATATATATATATATATATATATATATATATATATATATATATTGACATTATAACATTATATTTAAGAAAAATTTGAAAGTAATTTGTAAAAATGTTATTTGCACAATTTTTTAAGTTTTTAATGTTCCAATTGCATATTCTTTTTGTTTGATAGTTCAATTTTACAATGTGTAAAAATTTAGTAGTCTATTTGACACTTTTTTTCAACATTTAAACTACGAGTTAATATCTAATTTAGTCATCGATTATAATGATTTTTCTTGATTTAATCCTAAATATCTTCTTTTGCTTAATAAGGCCTTCTACTTTGATGTTTTATCCAATTAGGTCGTTGGCTATTAGAATCAAGGAATAAATAGAGAAAACCCATTATAGTTTAGGACTAAATTAGATACAATCACTATGATCGAGGACTAACTTAATTGGATAAAACTACTAAAGTCAAAGACTAAATTGAGTATTAATAGAGGTGAATTATCAAGCTATATTAACATGTGACTCAATTAAATAAAACCATCAAAGTTGATGACCTAATTAAGCACAAAAAAAGATGTATAAGACTAAATCGTGAAAAACCGCTATGCAGGGGTATATTCAATCATGACTTTTATAGAATTTTAAAAACTTTTATGAACTTTAAAAGTTTGGAGGTATTCAATTCAAACTTTTAGGGAGCAGGTGATATTCAATCAAGATTTTTAAAGAGTATTTAAAAGTCTGGTGGTATTCGATTAAGGCTTTTAAAAAGTCTTTAAAAGTCATGCGGTATTCAAAAAATTATGAATTTTTGTAGATTTTTAAATTTTAGGACTTTTGTAGACTTTTCATTCTTAAATATAAATAGTTAAATATTTTCTCTTCCTATTTAAACTCTATTTTCTCTCTCTATTTAAACTTTATAAACATTATACATAAATTTAATAAATTATTATTTTTCTTCATTATCCTATATTTTCTTGATACCTAAACTCTACCAATTTTTCTCTCTCCTTGACTTTACAATCTTCATCTAAAAATTCAAAATAATATTATTTTTAGTTTTTTACTTCATTAATGCTTGTATATTTTTTTTTTCTATGAACTTTTTATCCATCCTAACTTCTAAACTTTCACCTACAAATTTTCTCCCTAACTTCTAAACTTTCTCTCCCTAAATAAATACATAAACAAAGCAAAATTTTCATCTATTACCATCAAATTTTACTATATGTTTCATAATATTCATTTAAATACTTGTATATTTTGATTTTTATATTTATATTTGTAATATATTTTTTTCTTTATTTTTTAACAACAAGCTACTACGAATAGCGAATTATTGTTTGCAATAGCAATTTGGGGCTGCAAACAGTACCACCTTGTTGATGTTAGCAATCCCAAATTGCTATTGCAAATAATAACTCTTTACTTGATGCCTAGTAGTATATCAAGTATAATTTATATATATATATATATATATATATATATATATATATATATATATATTATTAATATTATATATTTTTTATTTTATGAAACTAGTATTTATATTTTTAAATATGTTATTTGAACAATTTTGTTACTATAAGTTTTAGTGTTTAATATTATTATGAATTTTTTATGAAATAGTTTTTCTTTGTTGATGCTAATTGATACTATATAAGCAATTAGTATATAAGTCTTACCATACTATGGATAAAAATAATAATGTTGAAAATATTGATGTGGTGAAAAACTATATAATAAGAAGAATTTTATGATATGTTATAACATGTTTTAATTTGTAAGAAAATTTTAAATGATAAGAATCGAAATTATTGAAAGTTTGTAAACATGTATTCAATTTAGAAGAGAAAATTTCAATTTTGGTCCACTGACTATTGCACTTGTGTTAATTGCAACACTTGACTTTCAAAAATGTTAATTTAGTACCTTGACTATGCAATTTCTATCAATTTTGGTCACATCGGCCAAATTGCCGGCCAAATCTCACCGGAAAAATTTAATAGGTCAACTAATGGGGTATTTTAGTCATTTTATTCGTTTTTTCTTTCTTCTCCCATGAGCTTTTCCATTTTCGGTGAGCTTCTCCATTTCCGATGAGCTTCTTCTCCATTTTCGGCGACCAACAACCTTCGTTCTCCTATTGCGTTAAATTGACATAAAGATTCTTTTTAAAACAGTAACTATTGCTTCGCAGTTTTAATTTTTTGGTTTTGGGGTTCATACTCCAAAACCACCAACCCTTCTCTCCCTCTCAGATCACAAAAGCGACAACACCCACCCACCCACCTGCGCCCAACCCTTCTCCGTCTTAAATCCTCTAAAACCCATTCAATATCCCAATATTTACTGCTCCACCCATCCCAATACCTTCAATTCTTCGCCCAATGTACTGAGATTTATTTTCTCCCTGTTGGGTGGGAGTGGGATTTGGCTTAGCTGGGAAGGGAAGGGAATGAATGCTTCTGAGTTCCTAGTCGACGATATTAGGACTCTATGTATCTGAGTCTGTTTAGAACTTCTTATCCTTGTCACACTATGACTCTCTACTTCTTATCCTTATCACATTGTGACTCTCTATTGTATATATTCACATCATCTGATCTCATTGTAATTAAGTTCAGAAAATATAATACAATCAGTTCTCATCTGGTATCAGTTAGCTAGGGTTTTGTGATTCATAAAATCAAGAAGATGCAGCGCTGCGGTGGCAACCTTAGTTACCGTGGAGGTCAGCAATGTGGCTTCGATGATCCGTGTCAAATCTGTAAAGGTTTCGGCCACACAAGAGTCAATTGTTTTTGGCGCTATGATGATCTGTGTCAAATTTGTAAACGTTTTGGTCACACGGGAGTCATTTGTCTTTGGCGCTATGATGATCCATGTCAAATTTGTAAACATTTTGGTCACACGGGAGCCAATTGTTTTTGGCGCTATAATGATCCGTGTCAAATTTGTAAAAGTTTCGGTCACACGGGAGTCAACTGTTTTCAGCGATATTCAGGGGCTCCGGGTTCTCAGGCTAATTTGGTGTTTTAGAATGGTTTAGTTGCTAAAACCTCGTCAAATTCTCATACTTGGGTTCCGGACACTGGAGCCACAAATCATGCAACTCCAAACATCGCTGCCCTTTCTACATCGGAGAAGTACACTGGTAATGACACTTTACGTGTCGGTGACGATATGGGTTTATCTATTAGTCATGTTGGCCATGCCTCTTTTAATACCCCTTTTAGATCATTTACATTGTCTGATATACTTCACGTTCCACGTTTGTCTAATTCTTTATTATCTGTTCAGAAGTTTGCATCCGATAATAAAGTATTTTTTGAGTTTCACCCCTCCTTTTTTGTTGTGAAGGATATCAATACCAAGGAAATGCTTCTTCGGGGCAATAGTTCGGGGAGACTATACACACTTTCATTACCTAGTTCGTCTCCGTCAGCATTTCTTTCCGCTCGTGCCTCGGCTTCCACTTGGCATAACCGTCTGGGTCATCCTCATAACCGTGTTCTTAGCCATATACTTCGTTCTTGTTTGGTTAGTGGGTCTCGTGATAATATTCGTTGTCATAATTCTTTATGCAATGCGTGTCAATTCGGCAAATCTGCCCGTTTTCCCCTCCCTCGTGTTGCTTCCTCTAGTTCTCAAGTCCTAGATCTTATTTACACAGACATTTGGGGTCCTGCGCCCACTTTATCTACTTCTGGCTTCCGTTATTTTGTGATCTTTGTGGATGACTATTCCCGTTATACATGGTTCTTCCCTATGAAATTAAAGTCTGATCTTTATGTCATCTTTGATAAATTTCGTACTCTTGTTGAACGGTCCTTTAATTGCAAAATAAAGGCCATTCAGTCTGATTTAGGTGCTGAGTACAAAAAGTTGCATTCTTCGTTTGTTCAATTAGGAATTCAACATAGACAATCCTGTGCCTATACACATGAACAAAATGGCCGTGTTGAACGAAAACATCGTCACGTTGTTGAAACTGGTCTGACTCTTCTAGCTCATGCCTCTGTTCCTTTGAAATTTTGAGATTTTACCTTTGAGACTGCTGTCTATTTAATTAACAGAATGCCATCTTCTGTATTAAATAACTCCAGTCCTCATCTCATGTTACATAAATCCCCTCCCTATCTTTTTCTTCGTGTCTTTGGGTGTTTATGCTACCCTCATCTTCGACCATATAATCGTCATAAGATGTCATACAGGTCTTCTCCATGTGTCTTCCTAGGTTATCCTGAGTCCTTTAGGGGGTGTAGATGCATGGACT